AAAAGCATTTGATTGTGTGGATCATAACAAATTGTGGATAACACTGAGAAGAATGGGAATTCCAGAACACTTGATTGTACTCATGAGGAACCTGTGCATTGACCAGGAAGCTATTGTTTAAACTGAACAAGGGGGCACTGCATGGTTTAAAATCAAGAAGGGAGTGCATCAGGGTTGTATCCTTTACCCATACTTATTCAATTTATATGCTGAGCAAATAATCTGAGAAGCTAGACTATGTGAAGAAAAACATGGCATCAAGATTTGAGGAAGAATCATTAACAACCTGCAATATGCTGACTACTCAACTTTGCTTGCTGAAAGAGAGGATGACTTGAGGCACTTGCTGATGAAGACTGAAGAAAAGTCTGCAGTATGGGTTACATCTCAGTATAAAGAAAACAAAAATCCTCACAACTAGGCCTATAAGCAGCATTACAATAAACAGAGAAAAGATTGAGGCTGTCAGAGAATTCACATTGCTTGGTGCTACAATCGACACCAATGGAAGCAGCAGTCAGGACATTAGATGACGTATAGCACTGGGCAAGTCAGCTGCAAAGGACCTCTTTCAAGTGGTGAAGAGCAAAGATGTTTCCTTGAGGACTAAGGTGCACCTGACACAAGCCATTATATTTTCAGTCATCTCATATGCATGTGAGAGCTGGACAATGAATAAGGAAGACCGAAGAAGAGTTGATGCTTTTGAGTTGTGGTGCTGGCGAAGAATGCTGAAAGTACCATGGACTGCTAAAAGAACTAACAGATCTGTCCTGGAGGAAGTGCACTCGAAATGCTTCTTGGAAGAGCGAATGGCCAGACATCGTCTCACCTACTTTGGTCATGTTGTCAGAAGCAAGCATTCCCTGGAGAAGGATGCCATGCTTGGTAAGGTAGAGGGTCGACAAAAGAGGGGAAGGCCTTCAACGAGATGGATTGACATGGTGGCTGCGATGATGGGCTCAAGTATAGCAAGGCTCAGGGAACTGGCGCAGGATCGGGCAGTGTTTCATTCTGCTGTGCATAGAGCCACTATGAGTCGGAAATGACTCGACGGCACCTCCCAACAGCAATGTTTTCCTTCAAATGAAGTCCTTCTGGAGCTCCACCATACAAAGGGATCAGAGTGGATGGCTGACATGATGTTGTGGTTGAATGTGGTTGAGTTATGGTTGAAGTGGGAATGGGGGCCCCAGAGTTCCTCCAAGCTTGTTCCTTGCCCTCCCTAAGGACCAAAGCATGTCGCTTTTGCTTACGCATCTCCCAAACCAAAAACCAAACCCATTGCCATTAAGTCGATTCCAGCTCATAGCAACTCTATAGGACAGAGTAGAACTGCCCCATGGCATTTCAAAGGCTGTGAATCTTTATGGAAGCAGACTGCCACATCTCTCTCCTGCAGAGTGGCTGGCGGGTTTAAACTAACGGACTTTCAGTCAGCAGCCAGGCCATTGACCACTGTGCCACTAGGGCTTGGTTGCACATTCCAGTGCTGGGGAATTCACTGCCTCCCGTGGTGTTTCATGTCTGGACGTGCTGATTGTTGTAAGATTGTTCTTAGGTTGAGGCAGAATTATGCTCCCTGTGGTTCCATGTGTTTCTCTTGGGTTCTGTCCTCCAAGTCAGCACCAGAGGGTGTGACCCCTCTCCCAGGAGCAGCCTTGCAAATGCTGCAGTAGGCCCACCCCCTCACTGCCCTTGCTCTGAAGTGCTCTTCAGGGTCTGCCAGTTCCGGTGACCGGCGCCTGGAACGTCCATCCTGCTGCCCTCACTTGGGTCTCACTTAGTTACACTGGGAAGCTCCATGTCGTGTTTAGGCTGCCGGAGGCACTTCCATTTGATCCAGGCTGATCATCAACTTCTGTGGAAGAGAAACAGTGAATATACCAGCCCGGCGGCGCAGTGGTGAGAGCATTTGGCTGCTAACCACAAGGTTGCTAGTTCGAACCCACCAGCTGCTCCTCAAGAGAAAGATGAGGCAGCCTACTTCCGTAAAGATTGACAGCCTTGGAAACCCTACAGGGCAGTTCTACTCTGTCCTGTAGGGTGACCATGAGTCGGAATCAACTTGATGGCAGTGGGTTTGGTTTTGTTGGTTTCTCAAATAGTAAAAGTTGTTCTGTGTTCTTACAGTGTTTGAAAAACAAAATCTGCAGAGTGGGAAAATAATTTATTTTTTTAAAAAAAGAAAATGCAGGTATTTGTATTGAATTAGGTGTGTTTCTGCAGTGATCAGCAGTTAAGTGAAGAATTAGCATTACCTGCCTGCCCTATTGATGGTGGAAAAATGGCAGTGACATTCATTCAGTCAGGTACAGAAAATGACAGCTTACGTGAGTAAAGACGGGCTCTGTGCAGAAACACACTGACACAGAGAATCCTTAATCTGTGCCCTGAGTGGGGCCTCGTGACAGGAGGCCCTGCTGCTTTCATTAGCTAGCAGAGCAGGGCAGATAGCTGGGCTTATCTTGAATCAACTGACGAAGGTATTTTCTTGATAGATACTCTTGACTCTTCTAGCTTTGCTTCTCAGGATAAAGAAGGGAGCGGGCTTGAGAGCGCTGCTTGGATAGACAGCGGTCCTCTAGGGTTCTGTTGATTTGTTTCATTTCCTTTTGGTTAAGCTTGTTTGCATGGTTGATACATTACTGGTATCAAGTTCTGTCTTCCCTGCCTAAGACCAAATAGGCAGCAGCTATTGTAAAGCTTGGATAAGAAGATTGGGAAGCAGGGAGCCTACGTTGGTGGGAATGAAACAGCTAGAACAGAAAAAACAGGGATGTTGATGTCATATGAGGAACCAATGTGCCTATCATTAGGTGTACAAAATGTTGGATGGGTGTTTGGCTGTGCATGTTTTCACCAAAATTTTTTTTTTTATATAATTTTCTCTTCTTAAACAGGGAAGTAACTATACTAGATCATACTTTTACTCGATTCATGAAAAGCAAGTCTTGGGGGGTCTCGTCCCCAGACACGGAGTGTTTGCAGGTGTTCCTGAGCTGTCCAGTATCTGGGGTGCTCACCGGCACTGGGGAACTGAAGCAGTGTCCCCCTCGTGTTTCTCCCGCTTCTCTGTGCAGTACAGTCAACACGGCCCTGCCCCAGGGACATGATAGTCCGGCAGGGAAGAGCCCCGCTGACACGGTGCTTTCATGGGGGCAGGCTGGCAAGGCCACAGTGCCGTGGCTGCTGGAGACTCAGGCCAGGCCAGGTGGATCTGCTGGCCGTGGGAGGCACAGCATGGCCTGTGCAGAGGCTGGCCCCAGTGTCCGAGTCTGCAGACACCCACACCTGGCAGCCAGGAGAGCTGGTTTCCCTGCTGGACTTGCCACGTAAGGTTTTCCTCTCCCTTCGGGACAGAGGGAAACAAAGGAACTGAAGAAGGGCAGGCAGCCCGGAAAAGCAAGTTCTCCCTTCCCTCCTCAGGCCCAGCAGCCCTGCCACGAAGGTGCAGCCCGGGAGTGTGTGTACCCTGGCTCGTGTGCCCGTCCATGCTCCCGTCAACACCTGTGCACACTCTGCCTCGGACAGCCCTCATCTTCCTCCTCACAGTCTAGGCAGGGGGTTTTCACATATTTTCCAGAAAGTTCTGTGCAGTAGTAGGGAGGGGGAGATGGGAAGAACGCTCCCTGCACCCCCTCCCTGCTCTTGCTTCACCCAGGGCAGCCCTTTTTCCATCTGTTTCCTATATTGGAGTCCTTTGTGCTATTTCCTTTGCTAACAGAATTGTTTTAGATCGAGCCCTGGTGCTGCCATTGGTGGTTTCTGTTGAGCCGGATCCGACTCGTGCCAACTCCACGTGTGCAGAGTAGACCTGCTCCCCAGGGTTTTCAGGGCTGTGCCTGTCCGGGAGCACATCACTAGGTCTTACTCCCATGGCATCTCTGCGTGGGTTTGAACCGCCAGCCTTTTGGTTAGTCGTCCGGCACTGAACCATTCGCAGCCCCCACAGCCCTAGACCTGCTAAACCATCCAACCCAACGGAAAACAGCAGCGGGTAGTGTTAGTAGTTGGCAGGCTGCTGATAACCTGCTGTGTGCTAGGCCTGGGGCTCAGCTGGTGAAATGAAGCTTCCCTGTAGGTGTGCACGGACAGTCCAATGCTCAGTCCTCCTTGAAGGCGTTTGCCTTAACTCTGTCATGTAGTCGTTCCCACATTAGATGGTTTCAATCAGGCACATATCGGTGATCGCCCTTCATGGTCAGTGTTGCCATTTTCTTTCAGTGTCCCGGCCAAGTAGCTTAGAGAGCAGCCGAAATGCGTCCAGCAGCAGCTCGCCTCTTAACCTAAAGGGTAAGTCAGTGCTTGCCTTCTGTGCACTTTTTAATTTGCTTGGAAGCTTGGCTCTGGACTCTTTTTTTTTTAATTCTCTGATGTGGGTGAAAGTTTACAGAGCAAATTCACTTTCCATACAGCAGCTCACATATACTTTATCTCATGACACTGACTGCAACCTCCCACAATGCAACAGCTCCCCTCCCACTTCCTCCCCATAGTTACCTCTTCCCTGTGTCCTTCCCTCCATGCACTCTTGCCCCTGGAACTGTCTCCCTGTGCATACACAGCCCTTCTATTCTCCCATGATTGATCTCTCCAAGGAGTGTATCTGCCTAATGTAAATGTTCAGCTCATATGCCTGTCTTTTGTTTGGCTGGAAGCCACAGGATTGGGTTCTATTCCAGACCTGAAGGACAGTTAGGTCTGGACTCATTTTTATAATTTAAACAGTACAGCTAACAGGATTCTCAGATGCATTATGGTGAGTTCAGGGACCCCATTCTGCAGTTTCAAGGGCACACCTGGGAGTTTGAACAGATTCAGATTGAAATCCTTTTTCTCCCACTTACCAGCTCTGGAACACAGACAAGTCACAACCCTCTGAGTGAGTCTCTGTTACTTTAGCTACGGAATAAGGATAGTGGTAGCAGCTCCATTCCCTTAGGGTAAGAGAACATAGTTGGGTCACTTGGATTCTTTGACAGTTTTTGAGGTTTGCTTCAGGGTGTAGAAATACGGTCTGTGCACCTGAAAAGATTGTGTATCCTGTAGCTGTTGGTGTTCTCTTGGTGTCAATTAGCTCAAGTTTGGTGAGAGTGTTGCTCAGGTCTCCTGTGTCCTTGCTAATTTTTGATCTACTTATTCTGATTGCTCAGAAGCACTCAAGTCTTTACTATAATTGTAGATTTGTCTGTTTCTCCTTTCATTTCTGTCAGGTTTTGGTTCAGGTCTTTGAAACCTCTTTATTACTTAGGACTGTGATGTCTTGGTGAATTGACCCTGTTACTACTATTATGGGATGGTGCTTGTTATTTCTGATAATATTCCTTGTTTGGAAGTTTGTCTGATACTAATATTATCACATCAACTTCTTCTGATTAATATTTTTATGACATATCTTTTTTCCTTTCTTTTACTTTTGTCTCTTCATGTTTATATCTTGTAGTTAGCTTATAGTTGGATCTTGCATTTTGAATACGGTCTTACACTTCCTGTCTTAATTGATGTGTTTAGACCATTTACATTTAGTGTAATTGCTGTGTTTGTACTTCCATCTGCCATCTTGTTAGCGTTTGCTGTTCTTTGGTCTGCTGTATCTCCTCTCCCTGCTTTTGGGTTGAGTATCTTTTATGGTTTTATTTCATCACTACTATCTGTTTATTATTTATAGTTCTTTTAAAAAAATTTTTGGCACATACCCTAAGGTTTACAGTTGTTGTTAGGTGCTGTCGAGTCAGCCCCAACTTAGAGTGACCCTGTGTTCAACAGAACAAAACCCTGCCTGGTTTACAGTACCAAAAAAAAACCAAACTCACTGCTGTCAAGTTGGATCTGACTGATAGTGACCCCTCTTGGGTTTCCAAGGCGGTACCACTACGGAAGTAGATTGCCCAACCTTCCTTCTGAGGAGTGGTTGGTGGATTTGAACAACCAGCCTTCTGATTAGCAGTCAAATGCCTTAGGCCTATGCCACCCGAGTATACACCATTAATTAATTACAGCCATTTTTCAAATAAAATCGTACTGCTTTAGCTGTAGTGTAAGAGCTTGTAACAGTGCACTTCCAATTCCTTCCTCTCTTTTTTTGTGCTATTATTGTCACATGTTTACTTTTGTTGTTGTTAGGTACTCACGAGTCAGCTCTGACTCATGGCGACCCTGTGTACAACAGAACAAAACATTGCGTGGTCCTTTGCCACCCTCACGGTCCTTGCTATACCTGAGCCCATTGTTGCAGCTGCTGTGTCAACCCATGTCGTTGAGGGCCTTTCCCTTTTTCATTGACCCCCCC